GTCTATGGTATTCTTTTATAGCCGCCCAAACAGGCTAAGACATGGTATTAATATGGCAAAATCTGTTCTGTTGACCAGCGGGTCATCCATCTGGCAGCTCTGGATGTCTGCAGTGCCGAGGGAGCTAGTGCACATAACACCAGCAGCAAAGAAAAGTTTGGTCCATGAAACGGTTCCAATCAGAAAGATCTAAAAAGATGGCTTATTGAAATGCACCCTGTCACCTAAGATTACAGATGGTGCACTTCTGAAAAAAGGGACTAGATGTTCATTATCTGCCAAATATACGGCTCATGTACACCCTACAGTAGGGCATGATATTTACCTTCACTTAAAACTTCTGCCAAAAGAGGCTTGTGCATTTCCTTACATTCTTAAACAGAATTTACTGGCTACCGTATATTCTCTTAATAAAACCACAATTATCCTTTTGATGTACAAGCTATACGATCATGGAAAATTGTCTGCAGGGTTCTTCAATGTCAGAGTTGCCTGCCCTGCCACCGAATGGCTCCAGGCTGCTAGGCTTTTTCACTTCTCATATATTTTTTTAATAGTTTATCTCTCCCATCCCTTGTTGTCAAGCTGTCAGTCAGCTGTCACTTTATACTGCTGTCAGTGAGCCTGCCTTTACTGCACCCCCAACGTGATGGTGCTAATCTGCTGTCAGCTGAAAAATCAGATAATCAAGACCTCTGAAATTGCATTTAAATAAGTGGTGTGCTGGGCACTGGGTGGAGATTTTGAGATTTGAGTTCTAGTTCCTGCTGTTTTTACCAGCAGACACTGAACTTCTCTGGGCCTTGGGGCCTTCATCCATAAAATTGTGTGTGTGTGTGTGTGTGTGTGTGTGTGTGTGTGTGTGTGTGTGTGTGTGAAAACAGAGATATACAAAGAGAGATCTCATCTGGACTTGAATCCCAAGTTTCTCTGGCTACCAGAAAGAACATATGAAACTTTTCTATGAGTTAACAGAATGCAGGGTGGGGGGCCTCTGGCACTTTAACTGAAAAATTCAAGGACACAGTTTAGTCACCACTTTATTTCACCTCACTCCTCTGATTTTGCTACTGACCATTTCCTTAAAATACTCTTCCCTTGGTTCCTTCCACAAGATAATTCTCACTGTTGACCTTCTGACTCCCTTATCTTTTTTTCTCATTTCAATCCTCAGCTCTTCCTCTAGTAACCCCTTAAGTATTAAGAGTGCCAAAGGCCAGTCCAAATTTAAAGGGCAGAGTCATGATAAGAAACCAGCAACAAGTCTGAGAAGCAGCAACCTATGTGTCCTAGAAGCTAAATGAAGAGTGTGACAGTGTGCCAATTGCTGCTGCTATGTATGTAAAATGAGGACTGAGAACTGACCACGGGATGCAAAAGCATGGAAGTCATACGGGACCTTCACAAAAATGGTTTCAGAGAAGAATCTCTAAGAGAGAACAGTAGGAATAAAATTAGAACAACAAATATATGCAACCCTGTCAAGAAGTTTTGCTCCTAAGAGAAAGAAATAAATGAGGCAGTAGCAGAAGGAAGAGAGCATTTTTTAAAAGACACAAAAACCAGCATTTTTTGTATGCTGACAGGAATGATCCAGAAGAAAGGAGAGCTGATGATGCAGAACAAAGAAGACAAACCTGCTGGAATGATAGTCCTTAGGTGTGGGAGAAGGGCAGGCTCTGGTAAAGAAGTGGAGCTAAGGAAGGGCCTCAGCCAGAAGCAAGGTGGTGTTGTCGTAGTAACAGGTGTGAAGACGGACACCATGCAGCCAGGAGCTCATCACTGCATTGAGGTGGTGCTGGCAGAGCACAGAAATTCTCATCTGACTACTCCTATTTTCTGTCATGGTCTGAAAATGGAGATAGAAGATTTAGTATTACAGGTTTATAAAGAAAGGAAAATGTATGATCAGTTATTTAAAAGAGGGGAAATATGGTATGCTTGCCAGGCAGATCAAAGATTCCATCTGAATTTAGGAGTCATGAATTTAGAATAGACTAGTAAGTATGGCTGGATGTCTTCGTCTTATCAAACACAGAGAAAAAGGTGCAACAGATTTGAGAGTATATGCGAGAGAGTATTAGAATAGAATATGGAAATGAAGCTGGAGAAAGGAGGAGGAAAATTAGAGCAAGATAAGAATAAAAGTAAGGAGTTGGCTTCTCTCCCTTCTCGTTTCTCTAAAAATAAATATATAAAGTTTTTTTTTTTTTCAAGTAAGGAGTTGGCTCAACCAATGGATGGCAGGTTCTGGTAAGGTCAAAAGTCTGAGTCAAAGTGATACAGAAAATTAATTAGTTAAATTCTTTATTAAGATGCTCCTTTGGCAGAGTACTTCTCTCTCTCTGCTTTAGTTCATCATTTTCATGTGCTGATTAATAAAAAGAGGAGAAGGAGACTGACCTTTATGTTCAGGTGTCAATAAATGTGTTAGGTTATAAAACAATGGTGCGGGTGTATTAATAAGATGAATTCTTCTTTATTGGCATCTACTATATGCCAAGCGCTATGTTAGGCACTTGACATTCATTAATCATTTAGTCACTAAGTCACACCTATGAGGCAATAAGGTAAAAATAATCACAACATTAAAGAACCCAGGCTCAGAGTCGCTACACTCACACAGGTCACAGGGCTACGAAGGTAGGCGATCAAATGCATGCCTGTGCGACCACAGTGTTCAAGGGATTTCTCATCCCAAAATGCTTAATGCATACAATGAAATGTTTTGAAGTGAATATTCTTTCTTTATACTGTTGTTCTGGTCTTTGAGAATGAAGTAGTGTGGGGGGGCGGTGAGGAGGACATTAGATAACAGCAGGTGCCACAAGCCAAATATTAAATTTCCATGTGACAGACATACACAGAGTTTTAACAGTCATCAATGTTATAAAGCCTCATATATTTTGCTGAAATATAGCTGTTACCCTCCCTAATTAATATCCATTATCACATATTATTATAGCATACTGTATTAATAATTTAATTGTATGTTCTGCTTTGTTCTTACTTAAATCCATTTTTGCCATAACCAAATAATAACTGAATAGGGAGAAAGATATAAACATTCAAAAATTGTCTTTTTAAAAAAATCAACTTGGTTATTTTGCCTTTGGAATTACTAAGTATTTTTCAACATCTCGACAAAATAATACTCTTTTAAGACTGCAGGCATTAGGATGATTGTCATTCATGCAAATAATCACTTACTTACACTATATGAGTTTGGGTTGGTTAAAGCAAATTACCATTTGAAAATAATTCAAATAACACTCTGGGCTAAGACCTTGCTTATGAATGTTATCTTGGCCACAATATTTCTTAACCTTCTTCCATTTAGCTAGATGTATTAATGGTAATACAGTCCAAATTAATAAACTATTCAATTGCCATAGGTGTATTACGCATATGATAATGGAGGAATATATGATATGCAAATAAATTTAAACCAGTATTTATTTGGAATTCTATAGCAATAATAATTAAGATGTGGTATAAACACCTATTCACCTTAAAGATGTATATTTTGACTATATGTTACATAAGAAACTTAAAAACATCTCAAAAATAAGGTTCATATTTTAAAAATATGACCTGAAGTATAAGCTGTGTTTGAGCTAATCATGGATCTAAATACAGCTATATTTTTCAAAAGTTGCAATTCTCTCATCATACATAAGAAAACTATATTTATACAAATATATATTATATGTACTTGCACATATAAATATATACCTGAAAATCAATGATCCTAGTTTCACTTACCTTGATAGTATTTCAAACTGTAAATAAAACATGAAATGATTTGACAAATGACCTATAGTAACAGGAAGCTTGGACAGTAACAGAAAACCTCCTGGGCTTAAAGTTTAATACAGTCTGTGACAACCAGCTGCGTGTGTGCAAGACAGTCTCTGCCTCTCTGAGCCTGTTTTCTGAACGCTGTAAATTAAGGATGGAGCAAGGTGTTCTAGTATAAATATTATAACTCACTCATTTGACTTTGTATTAGGCAGATTTTTCTTCAATTAATTATTAAACAAAACAGCATTACTGGGGATGGATGAGGACAACTGTCTCTACAGCAAACCTGGGCGGACTCGGTAAGCTGAGAACACAGAGAGTACTGCTGACCTCCTGCACAGCACGTACGGACATTAAACTGTTTCCTGCCTTCATCTCAAGGATGGAGGAAGAAACAGCCGTCCCTGAACTCTTTTTAAGGACAGAGTCAGTTACAAACCAGCAGCATCCCCAGCTAGTGTGAGTCCCACTGAAGCAAACTTACTATTCACAAGGGAGAAATATTTCTGTTGGTAGTAAAAATGATTTTGCTAGGTTTAATCAAAAGTGAAAAGGAATTCTAGAATGTTCCCTTTGAGCCACAGCATCCGTTGCTAATTCAGGGTGGGCCCAGAAGCAAGGGTAATAAAAAATGTCCTTAGTAACTGAGAAAGAGAAATGGCAATTAAGTGTGTTTGTGACCTAACATAGAATACCCAACTCTTTATTAAGATGATAAAAATAGTATTTAAAAAGGGAAGAAGAAAAAAAAGTAGAAAAAAATAGGATGGGGAATGGAAGTAATACAAGCAGTGAAACTGAACATTGATTCACTTAGAACAGATACTATTACACATACAAACCAATAGGCGGAAGCTGATGGCAAAGGCTGAGAAATGTGTGTGGCAATGACTTCTTTAACAAAACAAAAAATTTAAAAAAAACATTAAGTGTTAAAAGCCAAAACAGCTTTTTTGGCAAACAAATAAATAGGAGAAAATAAAGGAAGAACTCAATATCAGAAGTAACCATTCAGTGATAGGTGGGACAAATGATTATTTAAAATCTTTGCAAATCACAGCATGGTGAAATAGAACTCGATTCTTTAATTAACCATACTTATGCTGAGAAGTTAAAATTGGCAAGAAGAACACCAAGTCCTAGACGTTTGGGAAATAATTTGACATAATACTGAAAAGAAAGTCAAACACACTGACCTGCTCACATCAGGAAACCTGATGGGAAAGTAAATAACTTGGCACTTGGGTCCGATGATGGTTTCCAGATCCTTGGGTCTGTGATCAGGAATCAGCTTCATAAATCTTCCAATAGAAGTGAGAAATGACTGCATATTAAAAACCGAGTTGAAGACCACTACATCAGCTACCAGGCTGTAAAGGGAAAAGGTAAATACAAATCGTGAGCCCACATTCAGTTACAAGAGCAAGACCTTGATATTAACCAGAGTTTACACTGCACCTTGGGTTTGCAAAAACCTCTGCACTTCCATAAGTATTTATCAAAACGCCTCTAATGGATAAGTTAGTTTTATTAGTATTAAATCATAGGAAACTAGATTGTTGGCATCAGGAAGAAAAGGCAGGAGAGGAATTAAATGATTTAATACAATCCTATGAGGCTTCAAACCCAAGTATATTTTTCCACAATGTCAGGAACTGCCTATAATATCAACAACAAAAGTACACTAAGACCTTTTTCTTTGTGGCCCAACTACCCGTGCTGGGTTTCCATGCCAGTGATGTATACTGTTTTATACCATACCACTGAGAACAGAATTTTGCCATATTTTTCACTACCTTCAAAGATACTAATTCAGATACAGCTATTTCATTCATACTAAAGCATACCTTCAAAATATGTGGTTAAAGTCTTTATTGTTTTAGCCCCTGCTCCAAGAAACTCAGTTTTATAAAGCTCTGGCCCTATACAGGAGGGATTAAATGGGGTCTCTGCAAGTAACTTAATTCACTGGGATATTTGGAACAGCCAGAGAAGCAGGAGAAACTGGTAGAACTGATTACATAAAGGAATGCATGATAGAGAACTAAAACATCATGGACTTTAAGCATTAAATAAAATAAATATAATAATGACTGTTACTTTAGATTAAAAGACTGTGCTCCTCCCCATAATATTTTTGAAATAAAAGCAATCTGAAATACATCATTTTAAAGCAATGTAAAAACAAAGTTTATGTGTCATAAACACATCAGCCGTTTTCAGAATTGCCTATATGACATTTTCTCAGAAGCCAATGAACACAAATGAGAACTATGGGTGGGAGCTGGATAAAACTTTAAATACGGGGTGGGGGCAAAAGTAGGTCTACAGTTGTGAGCACACAAACTACATTTTATATTCTTGCACTATCATTTATTAGTTACTGTACTGTTTTCCATATGAACAACTGTAAACTTACTTTTGCCCACCCTGTATGTAGTATAAATATTAGTATGTTCCCTTTGTGAGTCAAGAAAGTGCTTTAAAATAAATCATTGTTTTAACTTTTTTATTTTTTCTCCACCTCCCCCCCAACCCCAGACATCCACACCTTCTACCCTCAATCCAACCCGCTTTAATTTTTTTAAATGGCCTTTTTTGCTGTAAGGCAGCAATTTTCCACCACTGTGGCACAAGAATTTTTATTTTTAAAGAAACAGAGTTCTATTTTCTATACTTTGCTTGTATTTGCTATACTCTTACCTAAAGTTCAGAATATTATAACAGAATGAGGATAGGAAAGAACTTTTGCAATCTCAAAAGTACCTCATGATCAGATTCTCAGAAATATCTGTAATTAGCCAAGAACTAGAAATAGTGCAGAATGTTTCAAACATGCAGCGCTGACTCTTTAGTCAGGGGCACTGACCTCCTTTCCCTTAGATTGTCAAGTGGAAAAATGACAATAGCCAATACAACAATAGCTGTCCAGTGTCAATGAATCAAAACTATACCTATTTTTTGTCAGATCGGCAAAAAAATATGATGTATTTGTTGGTGTGCCAGAGAATTCTAGCAATTGCTGTATATGTGCCATGAGATGAGGAAGGCTGAAAATCCCTGCTTTAAGCAATGATTCAGTTTCATTGTCACTGGATCTCAATAAAATGAATATAAATGCTTTGATAAGAAAGAATCCAAGATCCAATAAAATTTTATTCTGCCTTAGAAATGGTAGGTCAAGAAAAATAAAAGAAGACCTGTAAGTCCATACACCGCAAAACACGAAATGAATTAAGCAGAGCTTGCAGAACAGGAATATATACCATTTAACAAATCCTCAGTCTAGCTTAATTCACATTTACTGAGACAGCTTAAGTTCCCCTTATTAATACACAGCGGAATGAAAAACCAACAAAAAGAATGTCGACCTGCCACCCCTGTGCCTCCCCCACAAAACTGCTTTTCAATATATTTTTTTTTAGTTGTGACCTAGTGCCAATTTGGGGGTAGGGGTGATTACAACATGGATAATACAAAAGAATGGCACAGAAGTGCTGACATACCAAGCAATAAGGAAGCCAATATAAGAATACACCAAGAGTTGAAGGATGTTTTACAGCTAGTCTGTTTTCACCATGTGTCATGTATTGTAATAGCGACCCACAGGTCATAAGATATAGTTACGATATGTGTTCATAAGTCAAGGGGTTAGTGAAACCTCTATTTAAGGTGAGTGCTTATGTCAGTCATCTCTAAAGTCTTTAACTGCCACACGGCCAAGAGAGAAATCTGCCAGCGCCAACAAAAGCAGAAGTCAGCAAGAAATCTAAAGAAACATTTGAGGAAGCAGGAGTCATACTTTTCAAAGTGAATCGGAACAGGACTGCTTTCTGACACTCGTATTTTTCCCCTGGACAACTGTGAACCACTTTTTTTCCTCATCAAGAAGCCAACCAAAGATCACGTCCACGTCTTTCTCTGCAAACTTGTCTATTGGTTTACTCTCTTGGGAAGAGCAGGGCTGAGAAATCAAGTATGAGTTTTTATCGTCTCATTCCCAACGAGCAAAAACAATCTTTTATGAAAGAGAGAGCTGAGGGGGAGTAAGCGAAATGTTTTTCAAATATCTGCATGCAACCCAACTACTTACATTCTTAAAAACCCAGTCTACGCTAAATTAAAGATCCAAGACAGTTTACAGAAATACTCTTTCTCACGCATTTCCTCCCTGATATGAGTGAGTGTAACTTCCATTAACTTTAAAGCCACCCATAAAGGGAAAAATAGGCTTAATTTTTTCCCCCAGTTATTTCTCAAGGGTAATAAACACACACTATCTGAGGAAAAGAATGATGCTAATTCAAGAAATCAAAAGAATATTACAAATGTTTTCCATATTGATAAAGCACAAAATGATTTTATTTTTGTTTTTAAAACATATTTCCCTTCTCTGTTTCAATATAAAATAAAGTATTTTAATTTTATTATGAAATTTTAAAATGGTTGCTTTTTTATGAGACGTTTGATGTGGAGCAGTTCCACTCTATTTTGATAGCACTGCTACTTCACAATTGAAGCAGCTTGTAAAAATGATTGCAGGAAAACATTTACAAAATGCTCAAAACACAGAAGTATTACCATTTCGCTGCTTCTCTGTGTCAACAAAACTTGGAATATACTTGCAAGAGTTGGGAATCTTTTTAAACACATCATCAATCCCAACTGCTAATAACCATTAAAAAAGGTGAGGAATAGTCCCAGGTTTCAACACCGAAAAAAAAAAAGTGAGTAAAAAGTTCCCAGTCTCAGCCAAACTTAGTGCATTTGATTATTGCAGGGATGTGAATAGGATCCAACAGCAAGGCCCTTTCGGGGTTGTTATTAACTTCTTTCATTAAGTAAGCTTCAGGAGATGGACTTTGTTGAAGTAACAATAGAGAAGGACCATCACCTTTGAAATGTCATGGTATTTTAAGGCTGTGCAATTTCAGAAGACTCAATGAGGGGAAAAAAAACCAATAACTACCTAAAGATTCATTTTCTATAGTTTTCTCTCACAAACAATAAAAAGAACAAAAAACCCTTGCTCCATTATGCCTTATTTTGTGTTTATCCCTCTGAAAATTTCTCTTTTGATTTTAGCTGGATGCATTGAAAGTGGCTGGCAAATCAGAGCAGACTCACTGCCCTTTTCTAAAACTGTGCCTTAAACAACTGAGGAGAGAATCGAGGAGTGAAGGAGGTCCCTGTGACCCCTTGATTCTCTTCTGAATGTTGTAGAAAATAGTTAACTGGTTTAACATATAATGAGATTGTTACATATATGTATTCTATAAAAGGATTAGCTGTGATCTGATACGTATACTCAGAGGCAAAGTAATTACTACCATGGAAGGTATGTTTAAACACTTGTACCTACTTTAAGGTGTTTTAAAATAAGTGTACAATAGGTCTCCAGATTTAAAAGCTAACCACCTATAAAGAAAAAGGTAGTGAAGGACTTAATAAAATGATACACTGATACCTACCATGAGAGAATTTGGTTGTATCCATATTGGAAATCCCTCTCCTGACATTTCTTGACAGGATATACCAATTGGTTCTCGTGGAAGTATAAAATCTTTTTCAATTTCCCAAGGTCAGGCCGAAGGGCAATCAGTTCAGTCAGGTTAAGCACCGAGCTTGCAAAGAGGATCCTGGGAAATAAGGAAATTAGGGTTTACTGTCCCAAGTAGGCTTGAAGGGGGCTGTCCTTTGCCCTCCTTTCCTCTCCCCTGATGCTCCCCCCAGAAAAACATGTCCCCTATAGGGGCACATCAATAGTTCAGAATTAATACCATGTAGCAGCATTCTAAGTTTTGATCTCTGAAAAAGCAGCTGCTAAGAACTATAAAAGCTCTGAATCTTATTGGTCTTCTCGGCTCAGTTACTGAGATGCAAAAAAAAAAAAATGCTGGATGGATTTTATTGAAAAAGGCAAGAAAAGCTCTATCTGAAGGACAAATGGAACAAAGATAAGGCTGACTAGGGAATACTTTGCTTGCCAGTTTCATTACACTTTACTTCTTTATGCAACCAACTACTGAAATTCAATATACAAGCAGGAATGGCACATGCTGATGTTATGACATAAACCGTTTTGATTTATGCACTAGACATCTAGTGTGGTCTTTTTCTCTTGGCATGTTTTCTCACCATGTCCCACTCTCTCTGTTTTTAAATATTCTGCAATATTTCTGTCTTTTTCCTAACGTTTTCTTTTCCTCCGCTACTGGACTGCTAATGGCACCAGATATACAATCTGTAAAGCCCCTTATATAAAATATAAATGTTTAAAAAATGAAGACTGACTGCTTTTCTTTGGGAAGGGGAAGGAAACTGAAAGCTTACCTATCTACGTTTACAAATGAAAGTACCTACTACCTCATTCATTCCACAATCACTTACTAAATGCCTACTATGTGCCAGGGTCTAGCCAGGAAAACCAGAAAAGACAAGCAAGACCACCGACTAAGATGAATGCTGCCTATGACACTGACACATGCAAAGTATTAAACAAACAAACAGAAAGTAGTAATAACAGTCTGAGACAACCCAAAAACGTTTCACTGACGAGGTCCCTAACACATATGGGCACAAAAGAGGTAAAAATCACAGGTACATTTATTTAGATGGCACAATTTTGATGGAATGCCTTTATAACATAATGCAGCATCATTTGACCCTTACAGCTCTGGTCCCATTTAAAAACTGAGGTTCAAGAAAGTTTTGAGTTTTCCAGCATCACACTGGTAGAAAGTGGCAAAGCAGGGACCCCTGGCCTTCTAAGCCGGATGTGCTTTCCATTACACCATGGACATGAATTGGTCATGGACGACTTACATTGCAAATGCACTTTTTTCTGTACTTAATAAATACAAAATATCACCTTTGTTATTACCATGATTACAACTACTATAAATTCTCCCTCGCTGACAAGCCGAATGGCTAACTTCAGGTGTTTATATGATCTGCAGCACTAGCCTTTCACATGAGAAGAATGATTACATAATAAATGCATATAATCATAAATAGGAACCCAAGTGTCTTCTTCATGGGCTAAAAATGAAGCAGAGTGAAGCAGTGATCGAAAAGCAGTGATCTCTTCTTTGAAACCCACATGGCTATATTTATGTCATGGTTTGTTGCTATAAAGTTAAAAAAAATCTTACTAAGGAGATGCATTATTGTTTCAATTGGGTTTGTGTGTCCAACTAAAGCAGACAGAAAAACTATGGTCAGAAAATGCCCTATTTTAACCAAGAATATTCTCAGTACCACCAAGTCTTTCAAAAACTTAGACTGAAAATTCTGAAATATGAAAACATTTGGCTATTGACAAATCTTATCTTTAGTAAAGAGAATAACAAAATGCTAATCTCAATCAATAGCTTCCTTAAAAGAAACAAGATGGCCACGTGTGGTTCCACTTCCCGGGGAATTCTCCCACCCCTCCCTCTGTCTCCACTCCCCACAGCCAACACGTGGCACACTACCGCCAGCAACGACTCATCCTTACCCATTAAGATTTAAGCAAGCCCAGTGTTTTTCACACACAAGGGAGAAAAGTTCATTAAATAAAGGTCTTTTGCTACTTGTTAATTTAAAAAAAAAAAAAAACGGTAACTTTACCATGGAGAAATTTGATAGACATCAACTTACCCAAGTGATCAAAAATAAATATGACCAATAACAAGAGGAAGTGATATAATGTATCCCCCCAATGTAACACACTGAAAAAGATATAAATCACCAAGGTATTATTATTCCTGCCAAAAATGCCTGATCTGAATTTGGTCATGAGAAAACAATGAGAAAAATAACTGGGCTGACTGCCCAAGAAGGTTAATGTCATAAAAGAAAAAAAGTCTATGTTAAGGGAAAATGAAGAGACCCCCCCAAAACAAAGTTCCACTCTAAATAACGGGTTGGAGGGGCAGAAACAGCTATAAAGGACATTACACAAACAACATGGAAACTCTAAATATGGGTTGAATATAAGGTAGTAAATTTTCACCAATCTTCAATTTCTTAAGTGTAATAATTTTATTGGTTTCTATAGGAGACTATCCTTATTCTTAGAAGATACATGTTGAATTATTTATGTGTGAAGTTTCATGATGTCTGCAACTAATTCTTAAATTACTCAGTCAAAGGCTACTAATAATACTCATATGTATAAATTTACATAAAGGAATAAAAATGTGCAAATGTTAACAATTAAACAATTGGTATATTGTAATTCAATATATATATTGATGTAATCTTACAAAGTTTTGTTAAGTTATACCTTATAAAACTACAATTTGGAGGGAATATGCACAAAATGGCCATAAGTAGAAGAGAAAACTACGCTCCATGCCATTAACAATAAACCCATCATATATGTGCTTCTAGCCATAATCTAATTGTTAGCTTCCTACATGAACATGATCCTGAGGGTGAACCATCTATAGAAAATGTTTAACCAAGGAAACCTCTTCACTCTGCTTCTACCATACATCTCCTCTCCTTGCCCTACCTACCAGCTGATCTGTAATAGAGAATCCAAATTAAAGTTGGGCCTTCCGCATAAAAGTTCCAAATGAAACAATGCACTATATTCGGAAGTGAAATAGCAATGATTTCATAGTATTAACTATTTGGAACTGCCCACACCAACATCTCCTGTAGTTTGTTGAGTCATATAGAAAATTCATTATACTTGTCTTACTAATCTTGAAATAGTTTTCATACTCCTCAATTGTGGAAATTATCTGTAGCACTAGTTCTCTTTGCTTTTTCACTTGTAAAATGGTGGTTAAATTGTACAACAAACAACTCCTCAAATATTTAGCTCAATGACTCCCCAACACAAGTAATGAACATGCCTGCAAAAGAAACGCAGGTATGATTTATAGGCATTTTTTACTTTGTTTCCTCTCATCAGTCAAAAAAAAAAGTTTATGATAATACAATGAGTGACATCACTCAATCAGCAGCTAATCCCCAGACTCCCGAGGTTGGCCTTACCGCAGATGTTATTTAAGCAATAAATCCTAACAAGGTGAGCTTTATCATTGCACACTGTGCGTCTGGCAGGAAAGGGCACAAGGTGATAGCGAAAACCACTAGGAACAAGATAATTCCTGACAGCTGCTGCTTGAGCACAAGTTAAATTGAACAGTTTATCTCAGCATGAAGATGTTATAAGGTTTTATGTTTAATATTTTTAAATTAACATAAAACCCAGAGAAAGCAGTTGGGCAATCTTTCACAAACATGACATACTACAATCACGGTATAAGCTGGATTAGTACTTATTACCATGCTACTACAGAATTAAGCTGTTTTTAGACCACCAAAGAGCTTTAAATTGCAACTTTTGTCTCTGTAAGAGAAACCTATATTTAAAATGTCTGCTAAATTCAAATTAATGACTACATCATTAACTTACCATCTCACCAAAAGTATAAGTAAGCTGCTATTATAATCGTCTCATCAAAACGGAGCTTCACCACAAGCTCCTTAACACCTTTCTATGCACTTGGGATTGTATTCATATAATGCAATCCATACACAGGTTTCCATCATTTTCCATGCACTCCGGTCTACATTCAGAGTCATATTTGCTTAAGAAATACAAAATTATTCTACATTCAACATTAGAGATTTTATTCAACATTAGAGATTTTATTCTTTTCTTGCTCAGTTTGAATAAGCTAGTTGCTTGCCTTTCACCCTGTTCCCGTAATATGTGAAAAGCGATACTGAAATACTCTTCAGCACTGTAGCAGTGAAGCCAGCTATTTATTATCAAGGGGCATACTTTTGTATCTTAAAGGGCAGGGAAAGGCAGTGAAATGAGACACAGAGGACAGGCATTCAGAATGGTGACCAGCACTACACACAGTCTAGTAATACTCCTTTCGTGGACTAGGTTCTCTCTCTCACTCCTGTCCTGTGGAATCTTTCAATAGCTCCCCTACCAACTCACTCCCAACCATTTATCACGAATCAGGATACAAAACACAATTTAACACAGATACCAGTTTGGACTGTTACTCATTTTAAACAATCCCTTATAGGGCTTCACTAGGCCTTGGACAAAAGATTAAATTCTATTCTTCCAGCTGTTGCTCAGCCTCATTACCAAAGTCTTTGTTCTTGTGATGCCTATCTGAAGTTCCTTTGTCTTGATAGTCACTCTCCAGGATTTTAGATCCCAGACTTTCTGTGGTAGAGTATTAATTACGATGATGGCAATGTTCTATATCTGTACTGTCTCATACAGTAGCGACTTGCTACTTATTGCTATCAAGCACTTGAAGTGTAACTAGTTCAACTGAGGAACTAAATTTTAAATTTAATTAATTTGATTAATTTAAGGGTGAATTAAATAGCCACACAGTAATGGCTACTGAGTAGGAAAGCACAGCTTTGGATGGACCAGCTTAGCCCAGTAGTCTACCGATGGTGCCTGAGTGCGTGTCTTCTGAAAATCACTTCACTGATTTTCTTGTACAGATCCTTGACCTGATTCTAATCATCTAATTTCTAAGCTCCTCCTGACTAGCTGTACAGTATTTCACCCATTGAGCTCTCCAATTCTAGAATGATAATGTTTTCTTTTTTTCCTCTGATAATTATAAACCACATGTTCATTTCAGAAAGGTTT